ACTGGCCAGAATTAGTTCTGCCAAACAGATGTTCTGGCGGTGATGCAGTTGGGTGGCCAGAGTGACCATCTTTTTGGTCACTTGCAGAGACTTCGAACAAAACACAAAGCGAGTTAGCCATAAGGCTAGAAACGCTATGTGTTCGACATCCGACACTGTATCCGTCGACCTGTCGTGAAAATGGTTGATAAAGGTGGTGAATGTTGGCTTGGTTTCGGAGAAGCCAATTTGGTCCTCCGACATCTCTTCCGGGTCGAAGTAATCTCCGGTTGGTCGAAGGCCAGTGATGGCTGCTACGTCGAAGAGTGTGGGGGTTAACATCCCACATGGAAGGTGAAAGGTGAAGTGAGAGTTATCCCAGAACAACAGCGAAGCTATAAGCATCTCTGGGGAGTAGTTTAAGCCTGTCTTCGACAGCATTATTAGGTCAAAGATTCCCATTTCCTTCCAGACTGGAGTTTGATGTTTCTCCAACTTTGTTAGCCAAGCAACATAGTCAGAGGTCAGATTAGGGCAAGACCTAAAGACTCTAACACTTCTGTTGAAGAAGCGAAGGTCGATCTTCTCGTGTGTAGGGTCTTCGTTGTCTTCTGCATCCTTCTTAGCACAGGCTACTGGCTTGAGTTTCTCGACGATGGGAAAATAGCTCTTGATCTTCAGAGCTTCAGAGATGCTTGGGTTCATGGGTCCAGACATTGCGAAGATTTGGTTGGAGTATCCAACCGGAATCATCAAGTGACGCGAGTAAGCGTCGCGAACAGAGATGTCAGATGGTTCAGGGACCCTTCGTTTCCCTGTAGCGTTCACTACCGGAGCAGTAACAAAGACCTTGGGCTTAGCAAGTTGTTCAGTTGGTGCGTTAGTCTTGGGGGCAGTGGAAGCAGAAGCCATTATTGAGGATGAAGATGAAGTTGGAAAAAGAAGAGTTTTTTCTGCAAAGAGAACAAGTTTGTAAGAAAGCAAGGGAGTTTGGGAGATAGTTTGCGTGAAAAGTCCCACAATGGGATATTCACTACTATTTATAGTAGTGGGAGAAATTCCCAATAACGAGGACATTAAATGTCATTTAATGCTGCAGGAATTAGTGGGACGCGTGGCAGCATCCTGTTGTTTTGGCCGTTTCTGCAGAAACAGAGAGACGCAGCGTGCGTCCTCGTTTTTTGAATTTGTCATAATGACAAATTATGAAGTGATGTTTGGTTCTGCACGCCGTACTGACAGTGACGTCCTAGGATCAAATCAATGATGGTTTCTTGGGATTGCCAATAGTTGGTAAAAAGCAACAAAAAGTGCACAAGTTAACTTGTGACTAAGCGTGGAAAAACAGGTGTCGAATGGCGTTTTCAAAGAATGCCTTTTTCTTTCAGAGTCGAAATAAGGCATTCTTGGGGGGCAATTTGTTGGCTCCTAAATTCGACACCTTTGTTTTGATTGATGGCAGCCATTAAAAGCTGAAAGATGCTTTCGACTGGCTAAGCCTGTCGAAGTGCCCGTCGAAAGATGGCAAAATACTTAGAAGATTTCTTCCAAGGAAGAAGGCTGATTGCCTTCGACGTCGAAAGAGTTTTCGTCGAAGACGTTTCTTGATGAAGGTGTTCGATGATCCAGAAGTGGAGCAGTTTGAAATTCAAAGCTTTGGAGGGAAAACGGTTTCCAGCAGTTACTACGTGCAAACGTGCAAGGATCTGGAGCGTCGAACATGGAGAACGTGACAAGTGGCTTGATCTCGAAGCAGTGTAACTGCCCGACGGTTACTTGGAATGTTTTTGTATAAATAGGAGTAGACGTGTAGTTTCTCGTGTGTGTTCACAATAGATACATAGTCACTCATTTAGATTCAAGTACCCAGTGTGAGCGAACGAATTGTTGAGAAATGTATGTGTGAAACACCAATTTTATCAATTCAAGTCATTTACTTTTCCAGTATTTTACATGCTTTTCCCCTTTAAGATTCCTGTCGAACCTTTACATTCAAGCCTTGTTTATTTTACCAAGCCTTTCCTTTATGCAATTTACTTTAAACAATTTACTTAAAGCCTTATCCACATTAATTAAACTTCAAAATCAACCTATGTCCATAGGATCAATCTGATCGATCCTGCGAGTAACCAAATAAGTAACCATTTGGAGGATCAGCGGTTGTTTACCAAAACCCAAGGTAAACAACAAGAAAGGCATAATGATTAATCAAAACAAAACCAAGGCGATTTTGAATACCAAAGCGCCAACAACAAAGAAAGAACTCCGATCTTTGTTGGGAAAGATAAATTTCCTAAGGTGGTTCGTGTCAAAAATGAGTGGCAAAACTTTGGCATTTTCTCCTTTGTTGAAATTAGGCAAATAGTCTGAATTCAAGTGGAAAAACAAACACCAAGAGGCATTCGATCGCCTGAAAGATTATTTGATGAAGCCTATAATACTAGAACCTCTAAATAGAAACAAATGCATGAACTGTATATTGCAGCATCAGAGTCGACACTCCTTACACCTATATTTCTAATTCTAAAAATCATCATTCTACACTGAAGAGTCCCCAAACACACAAAAACATCGAATAACACACAACATCACACAAATCAATTACAGATAATTAATTAAAATAAATCAGAGTGTTTCAGTTCTCTTCTTACATTTTTTTTCTCCACAAAATTGTTTAAATCTAAAACATGAAATCAATTTTGTGAATCATTTAAAATAGAAAGATAAAAATATAATTAATTTAAATAAATATCAGTTAGGATTGAACTTTAGATCAAATAATTATTTTTTAAAATTATTAATTTATAAACATTTATAATTTATTTATATTAATATATTAATATAAATAAATATTATATAAATTAAAATTAAAATTAGTAATTATATTTATTTACCTCGATTAACACATATTAATTGAATTATTTCATCCACATAAAATTAAATAATTTTTAGTTATCTAAATATTTACCATTTGTGTTATATTCTATTCTTAAAAAGATAGATAAAGCTTGTACTTTTAGAAAACATGTTAAAAAAATCTAATATTAAAATGTTTTACAAAATCAACATTCAATTTTTAAAAATTTGAACATTAATTCTTTTTTAATACAAAATTTTCAATTTTAGATTGTTTAACCTGTATCTTTAAAATATACGTTAACAAGAGAACATTTTTTTATTTTAATAATTTTATCATACTATGAACTAAGCATTGTTATACACACACTTGAATAATTCATTCTTCAACTTAGGATAAATCATTAGTTTTTATTTAAACTTTAATATTATTACATTTTAAATTAAGGAGAATCAAAATAAATTTTGGTTAAACAAATCTTGTAATTTAATCAAAGTGTCTTTGAGTTCTAGAAGTTTTGATTAAATGAAAAAAAAAAACATTTTTACTATCATAACTAAATACTTTTAAATTATTCTGGTCTAACATGTACCTTAATTAGGGGTGTTTGCGGTACAGTTTGAGCGGTTTTGAAGTAAAAAATTATTTGAACTGCAAGAGAAAAAAATACGCGGTTCGGTTTGGTTCGGTTAACTTTTAAAAATAAATTTGAACTAAACCAAACCAAACTAATGCGGTTTGGATTGGTTCGATTGATTCGATTTTTTACAAAAAAAAATTATTAAGTCATACAAACAAATATAGAGGAAAATATAATTTTGTGTTTAATTGTTCTTACATTACCATAAAAAATTTTATAATTGTCAAAATAAGTTTATAATTTGATACATAAAATTGCGTATTATAATTTTATCTAAATCTAAAGAATGATATAAACAAGATTGCATTCTTAAATAAATATTATACAAAGAATACGATAAAATATAGTTTGTGGAAATAGTATTTATAAATGAATAATATTTTTTTTTTATGATTTGTAAATTAAAAGGAATATAATACAAGGTATGATAAAATATACACATAATACATGTTTATTTCTCTAAAGAATTAAAGAAATATATATTGATTAGTAAGATTTTATAACATAATGCGGTTTTGTTTGGTTTAGTTCAGTTTGTAAAATACAAACCGCAAACTGAACCGAACCTTGCGGTTCCGCGAGAAAATGATCCAAACACATCCGAATAAAATACAGTTTTTTGCGGTTTTGGTTTGGTTCGGTTCAGTTTTACGGTTTTCTATTGGGCTGGTTTGGTTTTGAACACCCCTAACCTTAACAATATGAAAAAAAAAACAATATATTTTAATTATTTTATTTTCCTATATTCAAGCATTGTTTTGTAGGCAACTGCATGATTAATTCTTTGAGTTGGGATAAACTACCATAAATATTACTGTTTTTTTGAATTTATTTAACATTCTTACATTTTGAGTTAAAATTTAAAATAACTAATTAGTATATATATATTTTGATTAATATAATCTTATCAAAGTGTTTTTGTCTTCTAGAAGATCATACATACACATAAATTAATCCATCAAATTAGAAAAACCAAAATGAATTTTGGTTAAACAATTTATATAATTTTGTTAAAGTGTTTTTGTATTCTAGAACATCTGATTAAATTAAAAACACTTTCATTATCACATCTAAATACTTTTAAATTATTCCAATAAATTTTAACCTTACTCCATTAAGTCAGTCAAAAGAGAGGGAAAAAAAACATTACTCCATGATTAATACAAGACAGAAGGAAAGTAAAAAAAATAAAAAAATTTAAAAGACTATTTTAAGAAAGAAATACAGAGAGTGTCACATGGCATGTGAGCAACACCAGCTGTGTCCATCCATCCATCCATCCTTCCACTCCTCAAGTTGAGATAAATAGCCTTGTTACCTTCCTTACTCAGACTTTTGACTCTGTGTAGCACAATCTATCTATCCAATCTATCTTCACACACACAACACTCTCTCTCTCTTGTTCTTTTATCATCTCTGAATCATACTTGTCTAAAAAAACTCTCTCTATAATGGCAGTACCATACCTCACTTCCTAAACACATGAACATATTCTCTCTCCTTCACTCTCTACATCCACTAAAAATGAAACCCCTCTACAGCACCAACACTCTCTTACTCCTCCTTGCTCTATTCCTTCTCCACTTAGGACCATCCCACTCTTCAACTTCAGCCTCTCAACTTCTCTACTTCAAACAATCTCTCCCTAACCCATCCCTCCTCCATGACTGGCTCCCTTCCAGAAACCCATGCTCCTTCACTGGCATCACCTGCAACCAAACCACCGTTACTTCCATAGACCTCACCTCCATCCCTCTCAGCACAAATCTCACCGTCGTCGCCACCTACCTTCTCACCCTCGACCACCTCCAAATCCTCACCTTGAAATCCTCCAACATCACTTCCTCTCCCATTTCCCTCTCCCACACCAAGTGCACTTCCTCACTCACCTCCCTAGATCTATCACAAAACACTATCTCCTCCTCTTTCTCCAACTTTTCCTTTCTCTCATCATGCTCCGCTCTTAAATCTCTTAACCTCTCCAACAACCTGCTCGCCTTCGATTCTCCCAAATGGACTCTCCCTTCGTCTCTCCGCTTTCTCGACGTTTCCAACAACAAGATTTCCGGCCCTGGATTCTTCCCTTGGATCCTTAACCATGACTTAGAGTTTTTATCTCTCAGAGGAAACAAAGTCACCGGCGAAACCGACTTCTCCGGTTACAAAACTCTCAAGTATCTAGATATTTCCTCTAATAATTTCACTGTCTCTATACCTTCCTTCGGTGACTGTTCATCTCTCACACACCTCGATATCTCTGCAAATAAATACTTCGGCGACATTACCAGAACTCTCTCCCCTTGCAAAAACCTCCTCCATCTCAACCTCTCCGGCAACCAGTTCACCGGCGCCGTTCCTTCTCTTCCTTCTGGCTCCCTACAGTTCCTCTACCTTGCTGAAAACCACTTCGCCGGAATAATCCCGCCGCGTCTGGCTGACCTCTGCTCAACTCTCATCGAACTCGATCTCTCTTCCAACAACCTCACCGGTCCAGTCCCACGCGAGTTCGGCGCGTGCAGTTTGTTGAAGTCTTTCGACATATCGAGCAACAAGTTCGCCGGTGAACTTCCGATGGAGATTCTAACTGAGATGAGTGGTTTGAAAGAACTGACCGTGTCGTTTAACGAATTTTCTGGTCTACTTCCCGAGTCGCTGTCAAAGTTAACGGGTTTGGAATCGTTAGATCTGAGTTCGAATAACTTCAGCGGAACGATTCCGAGGTGGCTTTGCGGAGAAGAATGGGGGAATAATTTGAAGGGACTTTACCTGCAAAATAACGTGTTCACGGGTTTTATTCCTCCAACGCTGAGTAACTGTTCTAACCTCGTTGCTCTTGATTTCAGTTTCAATTACCTCACGGGAACCATTCCTCCGAGTTTAGGTTCGCTTTCGAAGCTTCGCGACTTAATCATGTGGTTGAATCAGCTTCACGGGGAGATTCCTCAAGAGCTTCGAGATATGGCGAGTCTTGAGAATTTGATTCTTGATTTTAATGAGTTGAGTGGAACCATTCCTTCGGGGCTGGTGAATTGCACTAAGCTGAATTGGATCTCGCTGTCGAATAACAGGCTTACCGGGGAGATTCCTTCGTGGATTGGGAAGCTTTCGAATCTTGCTATATTGAAACTGAGTAATAACTCGTTCTCTGGGAGGATTCCGCCGGAGTTGGGAGATTGCCCTAGCTTGATATGGTTGGATCTGAATACAAATTTTCTTACTGGACCGATACCTCCTGAGTTGGCGAAGCAATCGGGGAAAGTTGTGGTTAATTTCATCAGTGGGAAGACATATGTTTACATTAAGAATGATGGTAGTAAAGAGTGTCATGGAGCTGGGAGCTTGCTGGAATTTGCAGGGATTAATCAGGAACAATTGGGGAGAATTTCAACAAGGAACCCTTGCAATTTCACTAGGGTTTATGGAGGTAAGCTTCAGCCTACGTTTACGCTTAATGGCTCGATGATCTTTTTGGATGTTTCACACAACATGTTGTCTGGTACTATTCCTAAGGAAATTGGTGAAATGGTATTTCTCTATGTTTTGCATTTGAGTCATAATAACCTATCTGGTAGCATTCCTCAAGAGCTTGGTAGGATGAAGAATCTCAATATTCTTGATCTTTCTTACAATAAGTTGCAAGATCAAATTCCACAAACCTTAACAAGGCTTTCATTGCTCACTGAGATTGACTTCTCCAACAATTGTCTCTCTGGAACGATTCCGGAATCTGGTCAATTTGACACGTTTCCGGTTGGTAAGTTCCTGAACAACTCTGGTCTCTGCGGTGTTCCTCTTCCACCGTGTGGGGCGGACTTGGGAGGGGGTGCAGGTTCGCAGCATAAGTCTCATAGGAGACAGGCGTCTCTTGCAGGGAGTGTGGCAATGGGATTGCTTTTCTCTCTTTTCTGTGTTTTCGGTTTGATCATTATTGCTATTGAGACAAGAAAGAGGAGGAAGAAAAAAGAGGCAGCTATTGATGGCTACATTGAAAATTCTCATTCTGGCAATGCCAATAATTCTGGCTGGAAATTGACCAGTGCCCGCGAAGCTCTCAGTATTAACCTCGCAACGTTTGAAAAGCCACTTCGAAAGCTCACTTTCGCAGATCTTCTAGCAGCAACCAATGGCTTTCACAATGACAGTCTCATTGGTTCAGGTGGTTTCGGCGATGTGTATAAAGCTCAGTTGAAAGACGGAAGTGTTGTGGCCATCAAGAAGCTGATACATGTAAGTGGACAAGGGGACAGAGAATTCACAGCTGAAATGGAAACCATTGGGAAAATTAAGCACAGAAACCTTGTTCCTCTTCTGGGATACTGCAAGGTTGGAGAGGAAAGACTGTTGGTTTATGAGTACATGAAATATGGAAGTCTAGAAGATGTCCTGCACGACCCGAAGAAAGCTGGGATCAAGATGAATTGGTCAGTGAGGAGGAAGATTGCAATTGGAGCTGCAAGAGGGTTGGCTTTTCTCCACCATAACTGTATTCCACATATCATTCACAGAGACATGAAATCCAGCAATGTCTTGCTCGATGAAAATTTGGAAGCCAGGGTCTCTGATTTTGGTATGGCTAGGCTTATGAGTGCTATGGACACACATTTGAGTGTAAGCACATTGGCGGGCACGCCGGGTTATGTTCCTCCAGAATACTATCAAAGCTTTAGATGCTCCACTAAAGGCGACGTTTATAGTTATGGTGTAGTTTTGCTGGAGTTGCTGACGGGGAAAAGACCAACCGATTCAGCTGATTTTGGCGATAACAATCTTGTCGGATGGGTTAAACAACATGCCAAACTCAAAATAAGTGATGTCTTTGATAAAGAGCTTATGAAAGAAGACCCCAATTTGGAGATCGAGCTTTTGCAGCATTTAAAGGTAGCTTGTGCTTGTTTGGACGATAGACCTTGGAGGAGACCTACAATGATTCAAGTCATGGCAATGTTCAAGGAAATACAAGCAGGTTCAGGAATGGATTCTCAGTCTACTATAGCCGCTGAAGACGAAGGTTTCAACGCCATCGAAATGGTTGAAATGAGCATAAAAGAAGTCCCTGAATCAAACAAGCATTAAGGCGGCACAACAGATTCCAGAAAATTCTTAAAAGAGAAAGACAAGAAAGGAGGAAGAAGGTGATGCTTTTCAGCTTCCCAAAAGTTTTTTTCTTTCTTCTTTGCCGCTTCAAAATCATTATTTCAGAAATTTAAAAGGAAACGGTTTCAGGGAATTGTCTAGTAGCTTTGCCTGGGTCTTTGATCAATGATAATCATGTATGTAATCTTGTTATTTTTATACATAAAAAAGTTGTTTAACCTGTATATAAACAGCTTCAGTTGTTGTTACCAAAAAACAGCTTCAGTTGTTACCATCTGTGTTTGTTAGAATTTTAATTTTTAAAGTACTTGTCAATTATTATCATGCTCAAAAGTTTCAATGCTAAATAGTATTTTTGGCCTAATTGAGTGTCTAGTGTTACTTTACCATCCATTCTTGATATGGATTTTTTCTTCATGTTACTATAAAAACAAAATGGAACAGGTAAGAGTCAAGAGACTTGAATTTAAGCATAATATATCATGTATCGCCATCTGTCTCTTTCTGTTGAGCATGCACGTTTCTTGGATCAATCTCTAAAGTGAATAACTTTACAAGTTTTAGAGAAGTTTCATAGTAACATGTGTCATAAGGGCACATTAAAGATATTATAATTAAAAAATGTTCTTATTATGTGTTTAAAGGACATAGGTTAAAGATATTAAACAAAAAAAATTTAGATGTAATTAAATGAAATAAAATTATATTTAAGATTTTAAAATATTAAATATACACATTTCAAAAAAAAAATTTAAAATAATTTATTAATTTGTACTTTTAAGATACATGTTACCTAAAATTGTAATACATGAATCAAATTGCAGTACATGAATCAAATTGCACGCACTGCTGCATTTCCCAATGCATTATCGTGCGTGTGTAGCGAGGACCAGTTAAACACGCCTGTTAAAAGTTTCATATAAAGGTTTGTTTGGCAACAATAAAATATTAGCTTCTAGGTTTATATGACAAATGATTTCTTTAATAATGATTATTTTCTTAGACGTTTTTATTTTTGGAATTTTTTTATTAATTATAATAAGTCGTTTATAGTATAAAATTTAATATATTTTCATTTTTTTACTATATTTATCAATTATAAATTAGATTTAATTACAATTTTGATCTTATATAATTAAGAAACTAATTTTTCTATTTCAAATTTTGATCATCTTATTTTTTATATTGAAAGTCGATGAGAAATTTTTTTTTTAACTTATATTTTTATATATAAAATTTCACAAACAATTTTTATATATAATAATTAAGTATACCACATTAATTATAGTAGTTTTATCATACTGTGTTAAACTAAAGTATTTATTTAATTGTTCTCCAATCAGTATGATTAAAAGTATAATTATAAAAAGTGTTCTGGACTGGGCCCGGCTGGCCCAATAGCAACGATAAAGGCCCAATCCAGTCGGACTTGCTAGGGGTCGCGCCGACCTAAGGACCATAGCTATGCCCGACACGCGTCACTGGGCGACACCCCCGTCCTCGTAGTGTCCAGCTCGACATCAGCTCGAGCGCTCCTTCGCCAGTGGACACGACCCACTGCACTCTCAACGGGACTCCGAAAAGATCGCGTCTCTGTTCGCCCGCACTTCACGCAGAACATTCAGGGAGGAGACCACGTGCAGGTCCCCACTACGCACGTAGAACCTGGCAGTTCCTCCATTGGACCAAACCTGCCCGACCCAATGAAGGAACCTTGGCCCAGCGCTGGGGGCTATAAATACCCTCTGTTTCCAGAGGGTCAGGTATTCAATCTATCACATATACTCACACTTTTGCCTGCTCGTACTCTTACTTACTTCAGCATCGGAGTGCCTTGCAGGTACCTCCCACCTCGTTCAAAAACTTCAGCTCGGAGCCAGCCGTGACGGACCAAGTCTGACCAGGTTAGATCAGTGGCGCCGTCTGTGGGAAACTAGCTTCCCCGTCTTGCAAACTCAAAGACCAAAGCTCAAAATTCAACTACCTGTCATGGCTGATCAAGCTCGCGACGAGCAGAACGTCCGCGTCGCCGACACCAACAACGACACCACGGACAAAAACGGACATCTTGATAACGCCGGCAACCCCGACCATAACACCATTCCTGCGACAACTGCTCTCGGAAGTTCCACCTTTCGAGACGGAGCTACTGCATCATCTTCCTCGCTCCCACCACCACTCAAAGACGACCCGACGGCCCTCGCGCACTACAGAGCCGCCCGGTTCCAGGAAGTCCCCGTCCCCTCCGGGGCGGATGCCACAACACAAGCGTTGTTCGCAGCAATTAATCAAACGAACTATCTCATCTTCGCCCAAGGAGAGAGACTAAAGGCGCTTGAAGACGAGCGAAGACCCCCGAGGAGGCATCGGAGACCACATACTCCCCCTCCTCGAGTGACTGAAGCTCGACACCCATCTCCCCCGCGGAGACATTACAGGGAGACCTCTCGAAGCCAATCTCCCCGGCCAAAACAGAAACGGCCTTATCTGGAGAGGCAACCCATCATTCAGGCCGGAGAACCCAGTCGTGACCCGACGATACTAGAAAGAAGGCACTCCGGAGGCGGACGAATAAAATTCAACCACCGAGCATCCCGCTCGAGAGAGACTCAGCACGACCTGGACCGTCGTGCCAGACAGTATTACAGGTCCCCATCTCTGTCTCCGGAGAGAAGCGACGAGGATGACCCCCGCGGTCCCCTGTCGCAGGCTATTATGGAAGCACCCATCCCCCCGGGCATGGAGAAGCCCCCACACTTGAAGGAATACGATGGAGTCGCGGACCCGGTCGACCACATAGACGGATTCGAGGCTATGCTTCATTATCACAACGTCGGGGGCCCCATCAAGTGCCGTCTATTCCCAACGACTCTCAGGAAGGCGACGATGGACTGGTACAAAGGACTCGCCCTGGGCTCAATTACCTCGTGGCGGAACCTGAAGAACCAGTTCATCAGTTCCTTCACAGCTTCTCGGCGGCACCCGAAGACCGAGGCGGCTCTCGAGGCCATCATCCAAAGACAGGATGAAACCTTGAGGGAATTCATCAACCGTTTCAACTGGGAAGCAATACAGGTCCCCTGTGCGGACCATATGAAAAGATATTTGCTGGAGAGAGGGCTCCTCCCCGGCACAGAATTCAGAAAGGCTGTGGGTATCGAGCCACCTCGGACATTCGATGCCCTCCTCGAAAAGGCCCGAGCATACATGGACTACGAGGAGAGGGAAGCGGCCAACAGAGCCCGAGATTCCAGGACTCGTGGTCCCAACAGCAGCTCGCGCCAAGAAGCTCCTCCTCGACGAACCGGGGAGAAAAGGAAGGAAGACAGACCCCGGGAAGTCCGGGAACAAAGAGGACCTTCGGGGCGTTTCACCGAGTACACTCCGCTCACGGCTTCCCGCGAGCGCATTCTGGCGGAGTGTGCCAGCACTGATTTCAAGGACGGCGGTGTCAAACGTCCCCGACCTGCTCCCGCTAAGCCCGGAGCAGACAAAAACAAATATTGTCAGTACCATAGGAGCCATGGTCACCTGACTGAGGATTGCGTCCACCTCAAGGACGCCATTGAAACCCTCATCAAGGGAGGGAGGCTCGCGCAGTACCGGCGAAGCGACGCTTCCCGTCGTGATGCCCAAGAAACCAGGGAGCCAGAAGAAGACGCCCGACCATCTGACGAGTCGGTGCCTATCCAAACTGCCTTCTCCGTGACCAGGCCCGAGGATTTCGACTTCCCCGAGCACCTGCAAGAGCCACTTACAACGCACAGCAGGTGGGAATACTTCCCCTCCGCCTTGGTCATCAACGGCGGCGGGTTCAACGACTTGACCATCAATTTAGCCAAGAGGAAGCTGGACGAACTGGTCGACGCGGCTCCCCCGCAAACAGTGACGTTCGAAAGGGTGAAGCACAGGTCAGAGCCCATCACCTTCTACCTGGAAGAACTCCCCGGCGAAGCCCCGAACGCGGTCATCCCCTTACTGATAAGGGCAAGAATGGCCAATTTTGATGTACATCGCATCCTGGTCGACGAAGGGAGTTCCGTCGACGTCATGTACAGCCAACTGTTCCGAACCCTTCAGCTGGACGACTCACATCTCTCGCCGTATGTGGGTTCGGACTTACAAGGTTTCAACGGCTCGACCTCCAAGCCTTGGGGATATGTCGAGCTTCTGGTTACGTTCGGCGAGGGGACGGCTACGAGACAGGTCAAAGTACGCTTCCTCGTCATCGACTGCCCGTCTCTGTACAACTGCATCTTGGGGAGACCGACACTGGCAGAACTGACAGCGGTGCCCTCGACCGTCCACCTGAAGATGAAGTTCTACACCAAGAGGGCACGGGTAGCTACTATCCAAGGAGACCTAGCCGCTGCCCGCAGGTGCTTCAACGCCGCTTCTAAGGGACGTGATACTGTCGACATAGAGACCAGACCCACCAAAAGGACAAGACAGGAGCCCGACAGGAAAGCATCCCCCGAGGAAGAAGTCCAGAAAGCTCCACCAAAAGTCGATTCCATAGCTCTGGACACCCGCTTCGACCAGGACGAGCCATCCAGCGGCGAGCAAATCCCACTCCGACCAATACCGGACGGGGATTTTGAACTCGTCCCCCTCGGCACAGACCCGACCAAGGGAGTGAAGATTGGCAAGAACCTCCCCGACTTGGCCAGGAAGCAAATCAAGGCCTGTTTGCGCGAGAATGCTGATCTGTTCGCCTGGAGCGCCGCGGAGATGCCCGGACTCGATCCTGAGGTCGCCTGTCACCACCTCGCCATTGATCCAGCCGCTAGGGCCGTAGTACAACATAGGCGTAGGCAGTCTCCAGAAAAAACGGAGGCTGCTGAGAAAGCTGTAAAAGACCTCCTAGAGGCAAATTTTATTTCTGAAGCCCGGTATTCCACCTGGCTGTCAAATGTTGTACTCGTTAAAAAGAATAATGGAAAATGGAGGATGTGCGTTGATTATACCGATCTCAACCG